CGACTGCAACATCTGTCCGGTGGCTGCGGTGGAAAATCGAGCCGACGAAAGAGCCACAAATACTGGCTGTGCTCTGGAGCACAAATACACAATCACATGAATGATGAAGTTCTGCAGTCTGGTTATGTCAAACAAGTCTTAGCTAACACTAACCAACAAAACTGGAAGGCTAGCTTGAGGTCAACACTGTGCTAACAGCTGCTCCACTCTGAGGAAACAACAGGAAGTAAGACAGAAATATTTTAGTTTAAGAATAAATGCGACTGCATGACTCAGCATTACTGTCTGCGTGGTGCTCACTACCAAGTGTTAACATTTGTTGGCTGTCACAGTCTGAACTCTGCGCTCGTCTCTCCCTCAGTTTGCAAAAGTAGATGAAAAAAAAAAAGCTGTCATAAAAACACTTATTTTTACTCCAGCAGAGAAGAAGAAGCAGCGCTCTCTTTCTCTGCTGCCTCAGCCTGTAATGTGTGTGCTGGTGCATGAAAGTGCACATATTTGTGTGTGTGTTGGATATTAAACTGGCGATGCGGCAACAGTTATGTCAACGACACACAGACACACACAGTTTCATGTTCAATTACACAGAGACTGCTCATTTCCTCTCCCTGGTTTATTTCCTTTACAGCTGCTGCCCGTCCATATGTCCAGCTTTTTTTCTCTTTTAATAAGCGGACGGAGCTCCCCGCCGTCCGCTTTAACCACGTCGTTGGTGAGCAAAAAGATGAGAAAATAGAAAAAAATAAAGAAGCAGCACAAGATGAAAGGAACATGTAAAAGCTTTCTTGATCCTCTGGACAGTTCAGAGAACACAGGAGAGGAAACGTTTATTGTCTCAGGTCAAGGATTTTTACCTTGAATGAGCCCACAGGAAAAAAATGGTCTCAGTGAGAGGACCTGAATATTAACCGACCATCTCCACCGGAGTGCAACAATCACATCCATCCACTTTCTGCTCCTCGCCAAGGAGATGTTCGGTTCCGTGCCCGAACCATGTCGACTGACTCCTTTCAATGTGGAGGAGCAGCCGCTCTACTGCGAGTCCCTCAAATGGCCGAGGTCCTCACCCTATCTCTGAGGGAGAGCCCAGCCCTCCTTCAAAAGAAACCCGTTTCTACTGTCAGTATCTGCGACTTCATTCCTCAAGTTTTTATATCTGACACATCAACTTCTTCCAGTTTAGCTGGCGCTCTGTTTTTGACTTATCAGAAAAAGTACTTATCATCTGTATAATCTAACAGTGAAACAATATTTAACAGAACTAAGTATGTGTGTTTAGAAACTATCAACAGGGATCAAATGAAAAGAAAATTGAATCAAATGTTCTGCTGGAGGAGAAATGAAGGAACAAAGAAGGACGGACAGCTGTGCAGTCGTAGCTCTTTCTTCTCCACAGTCTCAGCAGCGTTTTCCACATGGAAAAGATTTATATAAATCCTATAAAGTTTGTTTCTGTCTTGTGTGAAACTTGCATGAAAAGCATACAAGAGTGAAAACAGATATAACATCCCTTGAAAAATTATATAAATGAAACTTGTATGTTTTTGGCTACTTGAGGCGACCGTGGCGCTGGGGGTTGGGAAGCGCATCTGTAGCCGGAAGGTTGCCGGTTCGATCCCCGGGCTCTCTGTCCTGGTCGTTGTGTCCTTGGGCAAGACACTTTACCCCTGCCATATGCGTGATATGGCAGCCTCGCTTCTGTCAGTCTGCCCCAGGGCAGCTGTGGCTACAACTGTAGCTGCCTCCTCCAGTGTGTGAATGAATAGTGACATTGTAAAGCGCTTTGGGTGCCTTGAAAAGCGCTATATAAATGCAATCCATTATTATTACTTACTAAAACAATATATGAAAGTAATGAGAAAGTGGCCACTTTCATGAGTAAATCGTATAAGCCTTCTATGATTCACTATATGAAGTAGGCCACATCTGATGCAAGTCTTTTATAAGTTTTTTCTATTTCTTTTCCATGTGGGTTACTCTGATCAGCTTATTGAAGTTCTCTCAAACATTTAGAACATCATCACTCATGCTGTATCAAACTGAGTAAATAACATTCTGCTGTGTATGGTTACATGTGGCCATCAAATCAAATCAGCCCTGTATGAGATCAGCGGCTGTGATTGGTCCTTCACCAGCGAGGGCGGGTGGAAATCTGTCTAAATGGAAGGAGTGCAGGTCGGACTCTGCAGAGCTACAGCTCATAGATCTTTGTGGTTTTCCTCACTAGAAAAAAGTGAAAACATCTTCAGATCCTGGACAGAGACAAAGAAAACATTCCTAAAAATCCTTCAAATGAGAGTGAAAAAAACCCCTTTACAACATGGAAGGACAGGAAATGTCAGACTGAAGGAGGAAAAGGTGAAAGGAGACGAGGAGGGCAGGGCTCAGAGGAGGATGAAATGATGGAGGGCTGAAAACACTTCACTGTAACTACTCTGCTTTCAGCAGGCTCTCACATCTGTAAGTCTGTATCCATGGCAACAACACAGAGAGACAATTATGGGATGAGTCAGGTTTGATAACTCTTTATCTGTCCGTGTGTTGAATGAGGTTCGAACACGCCGGCAAGTTCATTTAGTAATAAATGGCGAGGTTAGTGAAGTCGTACACATGTGTTTGTGGTGTACACACACACACACACACACACACACACACACACACACACACACTAAATAGGCAGAGCTGAGCCTGTGGCTGTGAGTCGTCCACCAGCAGCCAAGCAGAAAATAGGCTCTCAACACTGCGTTTACTGAGAGGTACAAGCTGAGAGTACAGAGAGCAGGAACAGAAGAAGAGACGGAGTAATGAGAAGTAACCCGACGACGAAGAGAGGAAAGAACGAGGCAGGAAAAATAGGAGAGCACGCTTGCACAGAAGCTTTTTCTCTCACGTGAAAGGTCATTCCAGTTTCCTCACATAACTTTACTCCAGGCCAACTTTTTAAATTCAGTCTTTACCTTAGTCCAGATTTCTTATAACATAAAATCCAACTTTTCCTCTCTAACCTTTCTTTTCAGTTTTTCTGTCACATGAATTTGAATTAGTCAGAACCATTTCAGTCCACTGCTGCTTAGCCATCCATTTTCTTCTGCTTTTTCAATTCAGGGTTGTCATGGTTGGGGAGGGGTGGAGCTTATCCCAGCTGGCATGGAGTGAGAGGTGGGTAGACCCTGGACAGGCCCCGGCCTGTCGCAGGGCTTTGTAGTATTTAAATCTGTATTTTATGGAAAAGGCTGGTTAAGTCATTCGTTTCAGACACTTTGAGAATTCTTCCAGTTGCAGTATCCAGTCCTTCAGTCTGATTCTCCCCTTTTTCACACATTTCTAAAGAGTAAATAATTGAGCCTGAAGTCAAAAAGAAACGAACGAGTGAATTCAGATTTCTGAAAACCATTTTTCTTTCTAACTACTTAAACTATTACTGCAGTCTGACTGAAGCCTGACTGTTGATTGACTGTTCCATTTCATCCGCAGCAGGGACCCTCCTGTTTGTGCAGACGCTGAGAGTGGACGTAAATCAGAGCTGAGCTGGGGGCGCTCGGCCTCAGGAAATCCCCTCTGCCTCCAATAGACAGCCAGTGTCCTCAGCAGATGTCGAGGAGCAATAACATCAGACAGACTGCACTGCCGAGGCAGACAGCCATGCACTATTACACCACATAGACTTCCAATAACACTTCCCGGGTAGATGTAAAAGAGGCAATAAGATTAGACAGTCTGCTGCCGACTGCCAAATGGACTATAACAGATCACGGGCTGCGGGGGGACACTCGGCCCGGCGCAGGAGGGAGGGAGGCCGACCAAGCTAACAGACCTTTTTTGGTCAATTCTCCAAAGGTTGTTGTTTGCTTGAACCAAAGAGCTGGAGGTGAAGTTTTCAGGACACAATCCAAAGTTTGTGTCTGCACAAGTGAATCTTTCAGTAGTCAGACAAACACTGAGTTCATGTTCAGCAGCCTGAAGTCAACCACAGAGACGTGTCCTTTTTTTGCAGCTCGTTATGATCAGCTGAAATTGCACACGTGGCAGATGTTGTTCACTATTGTCACGTCTACAGTTTCAGATGGTCTAAAGTCTTTGTCTGTATGAATGCAGAGCCTGAGGACGAGGCTGCAAGCATCTGCAGTGATCTTCTCCTAAAAGCGCAGGCAGCTGCAGCTAGAAGGCGGAGTGTGAAACTGTGTCACACATCAGAAGAAGCCATTGGAGCGACACGCTGATTTACTGGAATACACATCTGTAATTACAGCCATGGTGCCGCGTGCCTGGATGATAGCGCCGTGAAAGCGATTAGCCTATGAGCTTTCATTGAGCACACTGAGCTCTTTCCTTCCTGACTGTTAAAAATAAAACGCCGTACAACACTTCCCTCGTCACGCACTCACACACTGCTGCTTTGACTGTTGATTGATGTCTCACATATTTTGCTAATATCACAGATTGATCTTCTTTTATGAAATCTGCTGCCAGTGGACCCGTCCGTGTTTGCGTTTGGTCAGAACGATAAGGTCTGCGTTAATTCATCGAGTTGACAACCAGCTTCTTCTTTTTTCTTTATCCTGGATATGCTGACCCTGAATGCTTCAGTGTCAGACCAACCAGACATATTTTCCCCTTTTTCTGTTTGCTGACATGAGAAAACTTCAGACTTACCGCAATGTTACCGTAACTCATTGTTTGTCATTTCTAAAGCTTTGGTTTTGTAATGAAATAAAATAATCTTCCAGATATCTATTTTTGTTTTTATACCCACCGAGAGCATCACGTTAACATTAGAACAAATTGATTTCTAAATCCAGGTTTCTCTTACTTTCAGTTCTCCACTCAGACTAAAGAGTCTGAGAACATCGAGGACGAACAAACACGTGCTCTTTAACCCCGCCCCCTCCTCAGACCCGCACATTTTGCTCAGGAGTAATGTTGCACTGCTTGCTGAACAGGCACTCCAACACGAAGCTTGATACAGAGAAACCATTTGTGCTGCATGCTGGCGTCCTCACCTGATTCAGAGCTGTACATGTAGACGAACCTGGTCCAGTAGAAGTGCTCAAGCAGGGCCATGAGGGGCTCCTGCAGCTGGGGCCGCAGCTGCAGGACGAACTGGTTGTTGGTCTGCACGGGGAAGGACGGCGTGACGAAGCAGACGTGCAGAGACCCGCAGAAGGACATCAGCATGTTGACCGTCCGCCGGTCGTACAGACCCATGATGGCGTACACTCCCTTAGAGAACTGTGAGCAGACTGGTACAGAAGCACAGAACAAGAGGGTTTCATTAATGTTTATTTAGATCATTTTTGAATGCTTTAGTCCGTCTGCCATTTGGAGCCAAACTAACAAATCCCAACATCTACTGGAACAAAGTTTCCACAAGTGTGTTTATTACATGTCTGACAAAATAAATCTTTACAGCTCATATGACTGAAGTAACATTAAACACATAGACGTGGTTAGATATGACTCCAACATACTAACGATGTTTAATATACCAAGATCTGAAAAGGGGAACAAATTTGACTCAGACCATGGGCCTTGGAAGGATGGGGGGCAGTGGGTTATTGCCCCAACACCCCACTCCCACATCTTGTCTTTTCTTTTGTTTAATGAAACTAAACGTTGCTCAAAACATGTGACCTGATTTAGACTTCTGTGGGAAATCTACCCTTAACCTTCCACAGAACCTGACGTGCACCTCCTGAGAAATATGACCACACATCAGGTCGACGTGGTCGCCATGGAAGGTAACGGCGTATGCGGTAAAGGGGTTACATGTAGTTACATGATAACTAAGAATGTAGAGTTTCTGCAGAATAATCAGTTGCAAGTGATAATGTCACTGTCGTTAGCATTTCTCTTCCTTTTTGTTGCTGAATATTAATCAGTGGACTCTTATTGCTATCCTCAGTGCCCCAGCATTTGTGTCTTTTCTGACACATTTACTCAAAAATAAAACAGGCCATTATTCCATTATTTACATCACCAACTACAACAAAAAAACTGTGTTGCTAGCTAACATCAGAGGAAATTAATGTTTACATCCTGTCACATGGTCACAGCCACGAGTCTTTCGTTAGACGTAGTAGCCTAACAGAAACGTTTCTCAGCAGAAGGAAAAACCTTCTAACACAACGCTGCTCCTGGAGGTTTATGGAGTTTGTTTTTTTTACTTACTGGGTCACGATTTCTGGAAAGAGACAGCAACGCTGCCATTTTTAATTTTCGTCCCACAAGGCAATACCATTTAGTTCAATTACATTCAAGAGAAGACAGACATCTCTGACAAACTGGGAATCTCACATCAAAACAATCCAGAATAAACAGAAGTGAATGAAAAACACTACAGACCAGAGTGTTTGGGGAGAACTGTCCCTTTAAAGGCCAGCTGTCTCTCTCGTCCCACATCTGCTTCATTTTGCTTCTGTGCCTTCGGCCGGAGGTTACAGAGTGCCGGTGCTCATAGTAATGCCTACCTTCCTGTGACCTGTGAGTTCACTGGCTGTTTGCAAACCAGCGTGACATCAACAGTAAAAACCTCGTCATCTGCCTCCATCCTCTGTCACTAGGAGTCCCTCCATCCTCTGGCCTCTCGCTCACCTCCCGTTCTCTTCCCTCGCACTTACTCTCTCTCTCTAATAATGCCATTTGTCTCATTGTCTGTCTTGTTTTTAAGCTCCAGTTGTCCATAAATCCAGGTCAGCAAACAATCCACGAGTAAAATCTAGCTCGTACACTTTATTATGACTCCTCAGTCACACTGTGCTTCATTTTGACTTAATGGTGCAAAACCATGACAGCTTTTTTCCTTCTTCTTAGCGTTATCTTGTCACATTCGGGTCGCCTTTCTTTGGCATTTTTAACAGTCTTCTTCAAACAAACATGAACACTTCTGAATATGCTGAACTCTGCCATTTTTCATGCATGTTTATTGTTTTATCAGCGCTTCCAGTGGGTTTTCTTCCTCCCATCAACACAGAACAGCCCAATCTCCATGTGGTAATAAGCTAACAGATGATAAAGTGTCCTTATCTTCATGGTAAACAGACATCATCTCTGCAGCTGACTTATCTGCCGCTGTGTAGCTGATGAAGAGCAGCTTCCTGTTTCACACAAAGCGCTCCCACATGCTAAATCCCCGTACACACAATAGCTCTAATCAAATTACTCTGAGATCCTTCACAGTCAGGGATTAAGTCTTAAGACAAAATAATACTCACTGCTGAGGCTCCAAAAGTCATTCTGTAAATCACTGGCTCATTTTATGGTCCTCCCGGATTTAGACCGAATCAAAACATGTCCATATTTGTGTGTCATCACCCAGAAAAATCCCCATTTAGGCTAAAACAAGTGAAACCTGAGAGGAAAGAAGGAAAGAAGGAGGCATCTACACCAGTGAGCAGCAATATTAAAACCACCTGTGCCAATGTTTTGTTACACCCCCCCTCTATGCTGCCAGATCAGTCCTGATCTGCAAAGGTACAGACTGCACAAAACTGCGAATGCATCATGACCTCTTTTGTACCAGCTTGGTGGTGGACCTTTGGTTGCCTCCATAGTTCAGGCTTGTTCATATACATCCCTTTGAGGCCTGATTTGATTGGAATCTGGGGAGTTGGAAGGCTTTTGACACTAATCGGGAGAGAGACGACTGCCATCGGGGAGTGCTGCTGCTAACAGGGCATGTAACTCAGCAGATTTACAATCTAAGTTAGGTCTGCAAGAAGCTCAGTGCTATGCACTTCTCACTTCTTTTAATGTTTTGGCTCATTCACAAAGCATAACTGCCAGTACACTCAACTTCAAGCTAAGCACTTGGACCCAGTACTTGGTCTTCCTACATTGGTAGCTATAGAGGTGCTTTAGGTGTGATGGTTATTAACTTCAAGCTTTCTTCCTGACATAATGATAATGATAATAATAATGGATTGGATTTATATAGCGCTTTTCAAGGCACCCAAAGCGCTTTACAATACCACTATTCATTCACTCTCACATTCACACACTGGCGGAGGCAGCTACAGTTGTAGCCACAGCTGCCCTGGGGCAGACTGACAGAAGCGAGGCTGCCATATCGCGCCATCGGCCCCTCTGGCCAACACCAGTAGGCGGTAGGGTAAAGTGTCTTGCCCAAGGACACAATGACCAGGACATGACTGTTTGTCAGAGCTGGAGAGTATTTAATCATTACAGGCTTTTGTCTATGGCGCTGACACTGATCAAGTGAAAACCTGAGACCCAAATGCATAAATATTGAACCCTGTATGACATTCAGCTTCTCCAAGTGTAAAAGGAAACCATCTGACCTATCAGTTGATTGGGGCTACAGCATTTGGCCAATCTACTGTTTGCGTTTGAGCTGAACTTTGTTGCCATGCTGGTTCCTCTGGTAGTGGTTCATTGATGTTATGTGTTAAAGTTAAAAACAGTGAGAGTTCAAAAGTTCATACACGGCAACAGACATCTGTTTGTAATTCAGTAACCTATTTTTTAGTGTTGGCCTTTTTCTAAACAGTTTACGATGATGACCTTCCAGATGGTTCTGCATAACAAACATCTGGTGCGTCAGGTTAGTGAAACATCAACCCCTCTTTCGGCAGTAATTGACCTATAAGCTTGTGTAATCGCTATACATTTACAGATATAAAGCAAATATGGTTAAATCTCCAGGTTGTCTCACCCACCCACACTGGAAGTAAAGCTATTCGGATGCATTCAAATTCAGAGAACAACTGTTAATTAATAGGTTCTTCAGTTTTTCTTCCAGCCGTGGAGCTGTTGATTCAATATGCTTTTGTTTCTCCTGAGTAAACTTCTTAATAAATGGTCCACAGACTGACCAAAACTCAAAAAAGAATCCACTTTTTGCAGTTTTAGAATCAAACTGCTGAAATGTACTTATTCATCTGTTTTTTTTGTTTTTTTGTTTCTAAATTTGCCAAATCGCTGCCAAACTGCTAATCAATGAATCAGTATTAGATCAGACACATAGGTGCTGACAGATGTCCTCGTCTACTTTCTTTGCGAACGTGTGTGTGTCCTTGGTGCAGATCCCTGAGGCCAGTGCTAACATGCTAACAGCAAGACCATCTACCCTTAGCAGACTCACACTGGAAATAACCATCCCCTGTGGGGCCATGCTATCATGCTAACAATAGATGTTTACCCTCAGGCAAATGCTATCAGTGCTAACGAGGTATCTGTCTCTTAGCATTAGCGCTGCTGTCCAACTGGGACGACAGGCGGGTCCTTCATCAGAGGGGGTCGGGCAGCACAGAGTCGACAGATGCTGCGAGCCTTGGGAAGCTCTGTAGTTAGTTGTGTTTAAATTAAAGCCAACGTGATGGGAGTCCAGATGTTTAACCTATGGGATTAGCCAATGAAGTGGTTTCTAATTTATGTAGCATTACATAAATAGCTGTCTTTGTTGATTTAATGAGCTCAGTTTGTGCTGTTTTTTTCCATAATGATTTAAAATTCATGTCATATTTTGTCTCTTTAAATGTATGAATATTCTTTTTTTTAATGCCTTTTATAAACTGTTGCATAAAATACCAAATGTGGTTGTCGTCAGTGTAACTATTTTTCCTTTTGTAAGTAAGTAACCAGGAGAAATGTCAAACGTGAGACTCTTTCTTGACCCGGTCAATGATTTCAAAGAGTTTGAGATTAAATGCACAGCAACACAACAATCTTTTTTCAGCTTTGTAGGGGTTAAAAATCAGCCTGCAGAGTGTTGAATAGCGGTGTGAAGACATGCTTGCAGTCAGATTCTTTAAACTTGGCAGAGCCAGGCACATTCCCTGTTTTTGGCCTTAATGTTGATGCTGCCTTTATGTCAAATGGGACATTTTTTTAATGTGAGTTTTGCCATTTCAGTCTATTTTTTTTAATATAGACAATGATCCAGTTTGTGAATATATAATGCAAACAAGCTGTCGTCGTTCTTTCCAAAACGATTCAGTTCCTCTGATGATCGAGAGGAGGTCAGTGATGTGTGACAGGATTTTGGTGAGACTACGGCGCATAACGTGCAGGTTTTAGTTAAACATGAGTTGCAACGATTTTCATGAAATCGTCCAGCTCGGGTGATTTTAATCGCACTTGAAAATCATTTGGAAAAATGTGTTATTTTGTGCAATTTATGACTTTTCTATGTTTATTTTAACTGCAAGCTTGAATCAGCTAATAGTTTCCAGCTATATCAAAGTCAACAACTCAATGTTGCGTACACACCCAAATACTCAAA